GGACCGGCTGCCTCCTGCACACCCCTTACTGGGGATCGAGCCCGCAACCCGGGCATGTGCCCTGGGCCAGAATCGAACCTGTGACATGCCCGGTCTGTTTGTTGCGGTACCATGTTTATGTCTACACTAGAGGCCCAGTGCACGAAATTCGTGCACTCAGTAAGGGCGGGAGAGGGTCCCTAAGCCCGGATTGCGAGAGGGCGCAGGCCAGGCCGAGGGACCCCACTGGTGCACGATTGGGGCCGGGGAGGGACGCGGGAGGTTGGCCAGCCGGGGAGGGACCGCGGGAGGGCTCCAGGGCGTGTCCATCCCGTCTCGCTCAGTCCTGATCGGCCGGACCCCAGCAGCAAGCTAACCTACCGGTCGGAGCGTCTGCCCCCTGCTGGTCAATGCATGTCATAGCGAGCGGTTGATTGGCCTTAGCATATCATTAGCATATTACGCTTTGATTGGTTGAATGGCCGACCGGTCGACCAGACACTTAGCATGTTAGGCTTTTATTATATTGGGTTTTATTATTATTATTTTTCGTAGAATATATTTGTATTGATTTCGGAGATGGAGAGAGAGATAGAAACATCCATAATAAGAGAGAATCATGGATCAGCCGCCTCCTGCACGCCCCCTACTGGGGATCGAGCCCACAACCCGGGCCTGAGCCCTTGACCGGAATTGAACCCGGGACCCTTCAGTCCGCAGGCCGATGCTCTATCCACTGAGCCACACCAGCCAGGGTTCCAACATCATTTAGATAAAGTATATCCATCAGCTCTACCCCCGAGGGAAGAGTCTTTTATGTATTTCTTCATCCCCATAGATCTGAAGGCTTGTCCGTCGCTGGAATTTTCCTGGCCTCTGTCATCGATGGCAGGCCTCCTGCTAAATGTGATATTGAACCCACGTTTCATGGAATCAAACTGACTTTCGCCCGAATCTTGGCCTTTGTTCCATTCCAAGCTTTTTTTTTTTGTTCTTTTCGGTGAATGTTAATCCGGGCAGGGCCGGCCGGCGGCTGTCATGGGGGCGTTTTGCCAACATCTGAGGTTGGAGAGGATGAGCCGTGGATCAAACCGCCTTCATGTCCCGCCTTTCATCGCGGAAAAGGCTCTTTATCCTGAAGTCCGTCTCGTCTCCATCCTGTCAGCTCCGGGGGTGGATTAGCCTCTGCGTCCAGGCAGCCTCGCGTCTCCCCGTCTCTCCGTCTGCCAACTCCTTCAGCCCTGAGTGATCATGATTGTCTGTCATCCGCTCCGGGGATCCGCTGGCCGCTGGGACTCTTGTCTGTACGAGGCACGCTCTCCTGCTTCTGACCCCGATCCTCGATTCGGCCGCGGCGGTCCCACTGCGTGTCTGTCCCACGATGATTTCAGCTCCCAGTCCTGGGCTTTCGGCGGAATTTCCAGTGGACGGGAGGGGCCGTAGGCTGGCCTGACAAGGCTCGGGGAAGGCCTTGTGCAAACTCAAAGACCTTCTAGGAAAATATCCACGAGAGATGGTCTGGAAATTAAATATTCCACTGCCCACAGGTCACGGTGGGTAGTCATGTCCCAGGCCGGTAATTTTTCCCGACAAAGGTCAGCTTGGAATCTTTACTGAGCCCATTTGTCTGTTGTCTCTAAGATGACATCTGTGTGCGACGTCTGGGTAACTTGTAACGTCTCCTTTTTTTTTTTTAATTTTTTTCCCGGACCCCTCAGGGGGCAACAAGTGGCACCAGGACATCCCCTCGTTGTTATTGTTACCAAGTTAATTGTCGGCTGTTCATTATGTTAAACATATCTTATCCAAGAAAAAGAAAAGAAAAAAAAACAGGAAAAAAAATATCTTATCCATCCTATATCATAAAAGGCTAATAAGGAATGACCGGTCGCTATGACGTGCACTGGCCACCAGGGGGCAGACGCTCAACGCAGGAACCGCCCCCCTGGTGGTCAGTGTGCTCCCACACGGGGAGCCATGTTTCTCTCTCATCGATGTTTCTAACTCTCTATCTCTCTCCCTTCCTCTCTGTAAAAAATCAATAAAATATATTTAAAAAAAAAAACCACATTGAAACCTGTAAAGAATTTTTGTGAATTTATTTGAGCCAAACGGTCGACCATGGCCGGGGAGCAGAACCTCAACGGATTGAGATAATGCTCCGGAGAATGGCGGGTTACGTCTGTATTTATACACGAGAGGCCTGGTGCACGAAATTCGTGCACGGGGAGAGGGGTCCCTCAGCCCAGCCTGCAGCCTCTCTAATCTGGGACCCCTCAGGGGATGTCTGACGGCCAGTGTAGGGAATCGGGCCTAAACCAGCAGTCGGACATCCTTCTCGCAATCCGGGGCCGCTGGCTCCTAACCGCTCACCTGCCCGCCTGCCTGATCGCCCCTAACCTCTGCCTGCCTGTCTGATAGCCCCTAACCACCTCTGCCATCCTGATCACCCCTAACTGCTCTCCTGTGACCCGGACGCCCCTAACTGCCCTCCCCTGCCAGCCTGGTCACCCCTAACTGCCCTCCCCTGTGACCTGGTCGCCCCTAACTGCCCTCCCCTGCCAGCCTGGTCGCCTCTAACTGCCCTCCCCTGCCGGCCTGGTCGCCCCTAACCGCCTCTGCCTCGGCCCCTGCCACCGTGGCTTTGTCTGGAAGGACGTCCGGAAGACGTCCGGACTAATTAGCATGTTACCCTTTTATTAGCATAGATTGCAATCAAAGGAAGGGGCGTAGGTGGGTTCCATGAAATCCATTGGTGATGGACTAGGGAGGCGGGAGCAAGCCAAGCGGGGAAACCCCTGGGATTGGATAAAAGGTAAAATGATGGACACACACACTTAGGCGGGTGCAGGGACAATATTAATGAAGGAATTTGTGGTCTCTGTCCTGGCACCCAGCACAGTAGGCTGTGCCCCGAAGGGATCCGGGAAAAGGGAAGTTACCAGGTACCCAGACATTTCAAGGCTGTGTTATTACAGATGCAAAAAGACAGACAGGCTCCGTGAGGGCGAAGGTTGACCTTGTCAGTGACCTTGTCGGCCTAGGAGGTGACCCCCCACCATAAACTGCTTTTAGTTGAAGGTTCATTTCAGACCATCCTTTGGGGCGACGTTAGGTCTCTGGGTTTGCAGGATCCAGGCCTCCCTGAGCCGGTCAGGTGAGCCTGTGGCCCCTTCCGTCCACATTACTCTACCGCGCCTCGTCGTCCCCTGAAATTACCTATTAATGTTCCTGGTTATTTTTTCCCCGTATTTCCCATGTCCACCCAATGCCCAGCACGGCACAGGGGCCTGCAGACCTCACAAATGCATGTCAGCCGGAACGAGAAATGAATAAAACACGTTTGCAGACGGTGGAGGCACCGCCCGCTGTGTATTCCCCTCGGACGTTGAATCCAAAGGTCGTTTGCAAACTAAAAAGGAGATTTAATTGCAACAGGGAGTATCTGCCGTGCGCTGTCTCTCGGACGCAGACGTTGGCTAATTGGATTTGAGGAGGAGGAATGGACTTGCGGGGGGGGGGGGGG